TACTTATTTTCCAGAGGACATACTTATTTTTTCTTTTTGATTTTTTTTCTACCTGGATTACTGAGATGCATCAGGACACTTCCATACATGACTTACTGTGTGGAGATTTGGGGAAATTCCTATAAAACCAACACAAAACCTACTTATATGCTTCAGAAGAAAGCTATACGAATTATAAATGCTTCAGATTATTCATGGTGTCCGCGGGTCCTTAAAAAGTCTTAAATTTACATATCTAAAATCAAAACCTTGAAAAGTCTTAAATTTGTTAAAAAATGTGCAACTTGGTCTTAAATTTGTTACTCAAAGGTCTTGAATTTTGTCGGGCAGAAGCGATTAAAGTTATCTGTCTCCCCCGGCTGTCTGCAGAACCATCGCTTTTATTTTCGGTCTTAAATTTCATTCAAGATGGTATTAAAAAGGTSTTWAAAAGTCTTAAATTTGACTTGCTAATACCTGCAGAGACACTGTTATTGTCATCCAACTAATGACATACAGTATTTCTCACATTGCATACTTTAAAATTTTATGATTTAGTAGAGCTTAGAACAGCATTGACAATGTACAAAGTTTATACTAAAGTCCTTCCACATTGTATACAGAAGTGGTTTAACTTAAAGAAACAAACTGAGTTAAGAAATAAAGATTTATTTTAAAAAAATCAAAGGTTTGAACAAATATTAAAAATAATTGTACCTCTGTTAGAGGGATTTGTGTTTGGAATAATTGTTATAAAGACTTAAAACTGTGTTTTTCAAAAATCAAAGGTTTGAACAAATATTAAAAATAATTGTACCTCTGTTAGAGGGATTTGTGTTTGGAATAATTGTTATAAAGAGTTAAAACTGTGTTTTTCAGTAACTAAATTTAAAATAATGTTTAAAAACTTTCTTACAGAAATATACCAATTTTTGATTGATTGTTTGCTGCTGCTAGAGTTTTGTTACAAATTTGGTTAGAATTTCATTGAAGATTTTCTTTCATAAAATCTATAGGAAATACATTGATTTGATTTTGATAATGTTTGAMTAAAAAGTGAAGGTATAAAAAGCTTAGGCTTCTACCTACACTTTTTTTTGGTCTATACTTTGTCTTTGTGACATTGACAGGAATTTAAAGATTGTGTATTATTTTCTGCGTTATTCTGTTATTTTCATTGTTCTGTGTTTTGTGCTATTTTGTAAATGGAAAATTTTAAAATGACCAAAACAAAAGTTTAAAGGATCAGACTAAAGGTTCATGAAGTTGACTTAACTTGAAAATGTAGCTTTAGCCCAACTATTCAATCTTCCATTGTTAATGTAGGAATGTAAATATGTGTTTTGTTTTTTAACTGTCTCAGTCATATTGTGTAATTCTGATGATGTCCTGTTTAGGTCTGGTGATGGTTCCTTCCTGGCYGTCTCCTCCACAGACGGTTACTGCTCCTTCCTGTCTTTTTCTCCAGGAGAGCTAGGCACTCCATTAAAGGAGCCTCCCACCCTGGAGATCTTTGTACCAAACAATGGTTCTGACAAAAAAGGAAAGAAGTCATCAGTGACTAAGAACCCCTCTCCCGTGTCCCGGCCACCGAGCTCAACCCCAAGTCCCACATCTCAGTCTAACTGTGCCACCCCAGCAGAGGAAAAGAAGAGCACCCCTAAAACCAAATCCAAGCCTCAGCCCCGTAGGATCACCCTCAACACCCTGGAGGGCTGGGGAAAGCCTGCGAGCTCTAAAACTCCTTCAACATCTCAGACCACGGTTCCTGGCAGTGCACCTTCTACCTCTCAGCCACATCTGACTCCCCTCACCCCTACAAACCAGCCCTGTGTTGCACCACTTACCCCCTCCACACCAAAAGTCCTGAACAGTGTCAATTCTCCTGGGCCCACTACTCCCAAGGCTTCAACCACCCCAAAAGGACCCACCCCGAGGTAAAACAAACAAAACAAATATAAAACTGAGTTAATTTCATGTTGACGTGTTTATCCCATAGGGTCTTTCAGACATGTTGGTGTAAATATGTATACATCTAGGGCTGCTACAAAACTGGACAATCAAGCTTGAGTCTGGCAACCAGGAAGTAGTCGATCAGTTTTGATGCTACAGATAGGCCTGTCACGATAACAAATTTTGCTGGGCGATTAATTGTCTCAAAAATTATTGCGATAAGCGATAATATTGCCT